TTCCTTGTTGATCGTGTTTACGGGTACCTCCCCACTGAATGAGGGAGACAGAGGCCGGGAAGGTTGAAAAGGTCAGAGCCGGAAGTGAGACGTTGGTGGGAGCCGAGGAAGATGGCTTGTGTCTTGTCTACATGAAGCTGCAGAAAGTTGGTGCTTGTCCAGGCCTTGATGTCTGACAGGCAGGTAGGCAGGCAGAACATTGGTGGACCTGGAATGAGGACTAATATGGATATGAAGGTCATCCACACGGAAATTAACCCCACATGTGCAGATGATGACATCAAGAGGAAGCAGGTAGATGATGAAAAAGAGTGGAGAGCAGGGAGGATGGAGCCCTGAGGGCAGGAAGACACAACGTAGAGGCTGTGAGTCAGTAGGATTGGAATGGGCAGAGTCGCAGTCCCAGGGAGGAGGAGGAGGTGGGAGGAGGAGATGGCAATCGAAAGGATGAAATGGTCCACAGCGTCAAAAGCAGCGGGAGGTTGGGTGCTGAGTGTGAACCCAAAGTCCTTGACACAAGTACATCACGGGTCACTGGTTATAAATCAGAGCTAGCAATCTGACCTAATTTCCTCCTGCTAGCCCTGGTCTGGGAGATCTGAGTCTAACAGCCCTCAGCCTTACCAGTACTCGGCTGAGATGAACTAATGGAGCACAAACGAAGCATTCACCCTGGACTCTTCTTGAATCGCCGGGCTGAGTTTTGCACTGCACAGCATCTTCACTGATCGAGCCATCAAGAGAGTTTTACATGTTACAGTCTAAGACAACCTCCAAAGCCATTAGACAGCGTTTTTTTTTGGCTTTGAGATGTCCTGTTTATTTTATATGCGCACGTTAAACAGATGTGATCCCCTGATCGCTCTGATAGGGTGACAAACGGGATGCAATCACTTTCAGTTATTTTGAGGACGTGATTACCATGGAGAAGCTGTCTCCAGGCAACCTATCTGCCATTTCAGTTCAAATCACTGGCTGCTATATGGAGGCGTTAAATCGTAATGGCTAAATAGTCACTTCAAACTCGTCGGAGGTTAAATGGCATTTGTTTGCATCCTTCATTACTAGCAACATTAATATGTGATTGGAATCAAGAACAGGGACCACCCACTGAGATGTGGTGAGAAGGAACAGCGGGAGAATTCTCTGCACTGCAAAGATACCTTTCACCCCCACGCCCGGAGCTCAATGCTGGAGAAGCACTGACTCAGTTGGTGTCCTCAAAATAAGAGATTTGCATTCCGTTTGTCATCCCATCAGAGCAATAAGGGAAACACGTCTGATTAACAAGCACAGGACATCTCGAAGCAAGAAAAAAAATGCTGGCTGATGGCTTTGGAGACTGTCTTTGACTGTAACATGTAAAACTCTCCGAGTAAAAGAGTTACGAGTTCAAGCTCCAAAATTAGGGCTTTGAGCTCACAGCTTACGGTCCAGGTTGGCACTCCAGTGCAGTGCTGAGGGGAGCTTTGCATTGTCGGAGGTGCTGTCCTTCAGTGAGGTGTTAAACCCGGGTCTCATCTGCCTCAGTGGCATAGCTAGGAATGGAAATTTGGGGTTTGAAACCAAATTTTGGGTTTGGCTTTGATACCTCATAAAAGGCAAGACAGAGAGCGATGCGAAGAAAGGAGGAGCAGGATCCCAAGACAAAATAGAAGAGAGTTTCCCCAGTGTCCTTGCCAACAATCCCCCAAATAAAATGAGTCATTGACTTCATTGCTGTTTATGGAATACTACTGTGTGCAAATTGACTACAAAATGCATAGTCACTACATTTTAGAATATTTTTAGAATACATTTTAGAAGACCCTTGAGCTCCTCACCCTTTCAAAGTCACAAGGCGCTTCCAACCAATGGAATGATTATATATTTACGCTTCAAAGGATTTTATATCTTTGATTGTCTTTCTAAAATGGCTTGTTTGTCTGGAACAATCTGCTATTAACTCTAAAACTCGTTCCCTGAAATGCACTCAAGAAGTTTACGGGTATGACTCTATTTTTTAGGCAAATAGCAGCAAATTTGCTCACAGCAAAGTCCTAACAAATAGCTGTGAAGGGAATAAGTTAACAATTTACTTGGAGGATTGTCGGTCAAAATACATTGGGGAAACTCTCCACTCTTTTCAAATAATGTCAGGGGATCTGTCCACCTGAATAGGCAGATGTTTCATATTGCTGGAGGTATGTTGACTGAACTCTAAGAGGATTTATTGCAGAAATCTGTTCTTATCTTTGTTACTATTTATAGACATGTCAGAAATTGCATTGCACCATCTAAACTAAACTCTTACATAAACTGCGTGGGTGCCTTTGTACGTCTGCAACAATTTAGCGAGCCATATACAGATGCGGCTTTTTAATATAGACCTTCAAGCTATGTAAGCAAGAGATGGATGCAGCAGTGGAGTATGTTATATGGTGATGGTTGGGATCCATAAAATCGCAACCAGCTTTATAAAGTATGTGACAGGCTGACTCAGATGTTGGCAGTCTCACCACTAAGTCAGAGAGTTGTGGGTTCAAGCCAGGTTTCGCCCACAAAATATACAGTCAATTCACTTTACAGTATATTCTGTGAAGCGCTTTGAGACGTCTCGAAGACGTGATAAGGCGCTATATCAAATGCAAGGATTATTATTATTATTATATAGGTTACCAGCAGAAACTCCTTTCTGTTTTTGGATAGCGCCATGGGATTCTTTAACATCCAGCTGCATAAGCATGGTTTAGCTTATCAACCAAGGGATGGCACTTCCAATAATGCAACTCTTCCCCAGTGATCACACAGTTTGTTATGTTTGAGTCTGTTTCAGAGCAGTGCGAGTCAGGTTTAACTATCATTCCCTCCTCTCAAATCAGGAAGAACAGGCATCTGAAAGGGCATATTTTAGTCTGTACACAGACCACTAACTGTTATTGAAGTTTCCAATGTTATAAAAGAGGTCAACACCACCTCTGAATAGAGCCCATATTATAATAGGATGGAAATCTCCTCTGCCCACGGTCTGCAGCAGTCGATTGTGAAATCAATTTGCACGGGCACAGTCCAGTGGATGTACGCTCACAGAATAAATCTGCCCTTGTCAGAGAGGCCAAATCTGCCCTTGTCAGAGAGGCCACAGGATGGGTTGCTGTAGAGAAATGAAGAATGTCACAGTGGTACAGCGGAGGGTGCTTTTCTCGAGCTGGGGGCTTGAGCTCTTACTTGGAGCTTGTTTCGAGGGAGGTTTTGCATTCACTGGTGCAATCACTGATTGACCACTGAGGCGGACTTGATGCTGACATGTGCCAAGTTGGGAAAGATTTATTTCCCCCAATGATTTATGACAGAAGAGTCTCTCATCTTCAACGATCGCAAGATCCTCATCCTCGGTTTAAAATCCCTCCACTGCCTCATCCCAACTTATCTCTGTGACAACCTGTACCCCTACCGCCCCGAGCACTCTGTGTGCTCAATGCCTGCCTCATGTCGTCCCCCCCGCCCCACCCACTATCAGTGGGAGAGCTTTCAGCCATTCTATCCTCTACTCCCTGGAACTCCAACTGGAGTCTTTCGTCTCACCCTCTCCCACCTGAACATGCAATCAGGTTTAATGTATCACCCAAAGGATGGGACGTCTCTCACTGCGTTGAGAGACGTCCTATTCTTTAGATGATACATTAAAAGCCTAGCATAGACTGCGTTCAACATCCTGACGTGGGGATTGAACCCACAACCCTCTGACTCAAAGGTGGGAGTGCTACCACTTGAGCCAGGCTGACAGATGTGTACAAGTGCAAAGTCACTACATTTGACAACAATCCTCTGTGAAGTGTCTTGAGATGTTGCAAAGTGAAAAGCGCAATATCAAAGCCAAGGGTTATTTCTGATATTTACCACATCACTCACGGCAAATGTTCATCCCTACATTGTATATCATTGTATATATCTCCCTAATTACAACATGCACAGCCATTAACATTCTGAAAGTGACATTGTATTTCTCTCTATTGATTTGTATTGTCACTGTTTCCAACTCAATGTCCTGATCTAGTCTGACCAACTCATTTTAAGGAGGGAGGGAGCAAGTCAGAGGGACTCTGGGATGGAGTTCCAGAGAACAGGCGGGCAGAATGGCTTGCTCATGGGTGAGGTGGATAGGGCAGGGGACATGAACTAAGGGGAGCGGTCAAGTTGGGTTCAAGACAGAATGTTGGTGTAGTCAAGGTTAGGTAAGGGAAAAAGGAGTGGATGAGGGCCCTGGACGCCATAGGTGAGAGGTAATGGCAAGCCAGGCAATATGGCGGTGGAGGCGCTGAGCAATGTCCCACCAACAGCAGTTGTGGCCAAATTTATTTGGGGGAATTGTTGGTCAGATCACTGGGAGAAACTCCCTTCTCTTTTCAAGTTGTAGGGATCCTAAATGCCCAACTGAACAGGCAGACGGGCACCTCGGTTTAACATCTCATCCAAAAGACCGCACTTTCAACAGTACAACACCCTCCCAGTACTGCATTGGAGGGAGAGACATTCATTTGTGGATCAAAGACCCACATCGGCACTTTGAACTCATGTACCATGGGTCTTAAACCCACAACATGAAACAGAATTTTTTCCAGATGGTCGGGTCATTTCAGAGATACCATCTAAACAGTGGTACAATCTAAACAGACCCCAAATGGCACGACTGCTAAGTGGAGCAACATGAAGGATGTACCCTCATACAGGTCTATTTTGCGGTATTTGTTAACTAATTTCTTAATTAAGTACGTTCACAAACATCGCTCTGACTCAGGAAAATCCCCTCTTCCTCCAAACGCATCCCCCCCCCCACACCCTTCTCCCTCTCCCTCGTCGGTGTCATGGATTGCTGCTTTTCTTAATTAAGAAATCAATCGTAAAATTCACCCACAATGAGAAAAGAGATATTTTAAATTGCTACATTTAGGAGCACTCCCAATTCTGCGGTTTTAAAGGAAAGGTTGAAAACAACGACAAAAAAATGCGTGTCAGCTTACCACTATAATTTCTTCATATCCACAGGCGATATCGTACGCTGGGAAAGATTCCGACCAGCCCATAGCGGTACAGTTCTTGCTGACATTTCCTTTAACAGAAAGATGAAGGATTCCACAATTGGTCAGTTGCCTACAACCGGTCGTAACAGCAACAACAACAACAATAATAATCCTTGCATTTAATATAGCGCCTTATCATGTTGTCGATCAGTCTCAAAGCGCTTCACAGAATATACTCTAAAGTAAATTGACTGTGTATTTTATGGGTGAAACCCGGAAGCCAATTGGGCACAGCAGTGTCCCACAAACAGTTGCGAATTGAGTGACCAAATTAAATATATATAAAAAAATTGGAGGGACTATTACCCCTGGAAAGCAATCCCCCAATAGACTAACAACTGGGTTTCTGCTTCTTGCTAGGTAAACAGAGGCGTGTGGAGTAAGAAAACTTGCATAAGGTTTTTGCCCCACCCGGGAATTGAACTCGGGTCCTCTCATTTGTGAGGCAAGTCCGCTAACCACTATGCTACTGGACACCACTAATACAATATTACATTTATAAAGTGCCTTTCTCAGCGGGAGGACATCTCAAAGCACATCACAGAGCCGACAGGAAGCCCGAGCTAGGGGTGAGGGGAGCTGAGGGGTGACTGACTGAAAGAGCGAAGCATTGCTAGATGTCTACCACACACATCTTGAAATCCTTCTCTCTTTCAGCGTTCTATGTAAGAAGATTGTACAGCACGGAAATAGTTCAATCGGCCCAACTGATCCATGCAGCTGCTTGTACTCCATGTGGGTCAAACGCTACATGCTTTAAACTTTGAGAGAACTTTCATGGCTACTGTTCCCACAGGACTTTAACTTAAATCGTAAGCGTCAACTTTATCTAATATAATGTAATAATATAGCAACTTATCACATCGCCGAATGTCTGAAAACATTATAATTGGACACATTCAATTTACCCAACAAAAAAAAGATAAAGTGATTATAACGGACAGGCAAATACTTGTAAGAGAAGAAAAAAAACACAAATGGTCCAGTGCTAAAACAATGAAAAAGCTTTGGCAATTGTCTTTTGCACTTGACAACCTCTGTAAGTGAAGCAAAGTTCTGTTAAACAGTGTTTTTGGAACTGATCCATAAATGGCATCAGAACTAGGGCCAAGTTTCAGTGGAAGAGTCATAAAACCTCACAACATTTAAAGCACCGATCTTTAGACAAATCAAAATGGCTGATATTCTGACCCAGACGCCTTTTTATTTGCAGAACAGCCCTCTAAGCCTCCAGGTAGTTTTACGTAGGTTTTAAGAGTTTCTTTTTGTTTTAAAAAAGAAGATATTATTAAAGGGGAAGAAAATGTTGGGTGATATATTTATCGCATGGCGAGTGCATCAAACTGCATCGCTACGTCGCAATGAAGGAGTGAAGTTTCAGTTACTATAAAACATTGCGTGGTGGGTTTATAAATAAAAGGGAAGGTTGACCAGGCCCTTTCTCAGGGAGATGCTGCCCCTTTAAAACATCAGACTATTCACAGCGCGGTGGTGATTTACGGTGTGTGTGTTACTAAATTCGCAGTCTAACTCAAACAGTATTAAATCAGTTGTTTTAACCTTTTGAACAGGGCTGTTAAACAACAGACAAAAAATTTGGTTCGCAACTCACATGTTTGAGGTTGGGAAATGGGGGTTAAAAGTGCTGCATCGTCAGACGTACAGTCCTTTGGATGAGTTGTTAAACCCAAATCCCGTCTGTTGGTTCAGGTGGATGCTAAAAATTCCACGTGAAGTGGGCATACACTTCATGGTTGATTGTGGGACAATTTTTGTGCCCCAAGTTGGCTTACATAACAGACAGTTACTACACTGTAGTGTAAATCCCATGAAGTCTTTTAGATGATCTGCCAACGTGAATGGCGCAGTAACAAAGGCAAAGGTGATTAATATTTCTAGTTTACCTAACCAGCCCTAACTACTGGAGGCGTGACACCTTCCCTTCATTCAGCCCGCCCCGCTCCTTCTTCTATATCCATCTTCTTCTTCTCCTTCTTCTTCTTCAATCTTCTATACTAATAAAACAACAATGTCTATCTATCTGTCTGCGCTTCAAGAAGGCTGTCAATAACCGATTGACGTAAAGACATGCTATATACCTCATCAGAAAGGTCTTGCAACTGGGAGTGACATGGGCATATTTGATTTGGGGCATCGTTCATGAGTTATGCCCTAAAATATAGCTAAGCTAAGCCACGGCAACAACAAAAAAATTAGATTTTTAAAGTGCCTTTCACATCGGGAGGACGTCCCAGTGATTATAAACTATACATGTATATTTATCATTATAAAGATGCCTAAATCAAACCTTACAAGGATAAGTAAGTGTGTCTATCTGTGTGTCAATCCACATTCTATAATGGATCGTTTGGTTCCAAGTGAAGCTGCAAACGGGTACAGCTAATCTCATATAAAGTGAAAAGGGTCAACATGATAGCCTTCCTAAAATCATTTTGTTCCTTAGTTAAAAAACGAGGTTAAAATATGTTTTAACAACAACACATTACATTTGTGTAGCGCCTTTCATGTCAGGAGGACATCCTGAAAGCGCTGACATCCCAAGGCATTGTTAAAATAATTTAACATTCCCCCGTTCCACCCGATATCTGAGTCACGGTAAACTCCAAAGCCAATGGAAAGGTTCTGCGAGCAGACATCTTGCCAACCCCCAACCCCTTCTGATTCCACCTCGGATCCAAATCCCTGACTCTCCAGCGCCTTGGGACGTCCTCCCGAGGCGAAAGGCGCTATACACGTGTAATTTGTTGTTGTTGTTCCCCCCATCACAGCATCGAACTGAAGGTGGAGTCCAACATTTCAGGTTTCAGCATAGCTTATGACCTGCCAGCCACCTTGATGTTTTGACCCCAAACTAGCAAAGACGGGAACATTTGCAACGTAAAATGTAAAACATCGAGAATACTGCAAGTCCATTGAGAGCCATTGCATTTCCCCAAACAAACAGTTAAAAAGTACAAAGACCTATTTTGTCGCTGAAGTGTCTGAATAGTTTTGGACAGTGAACGGTGACGGTTTCTCCAACCTTGGCCGGCAACCAGCAGGAAAGGTTGGCCCAGGTACCATGGCAACCTGGAACCAAAGAAAAAAAAATCAATTATTGATCTATTTTTATAAAAAGAACACCAATCTTCGATAAAATACACAGTTACTACACTTTGCAGTAAATCCTCCCAACGTGAAAAGTGCTACGGCAAATGTAAGGATCAATTTAGTTATTTTTTCCTAAATTACCAAATATCTATATCACTTTTATAATAATAAATAACAATAATAATCCTTGCATTTGATATAACGCCTTATCATTGCTTCGAGATGTCTCAAAGCGCTTCACAGAATATACTGTAAAGTAGATTGACTGTGTATTTTGCTGGCAGCCAATTGCACCCAGCAGTATCCCACAAACAGTCGTGGATTGAGTGAGCGTATCTTTTCTGAAGGGATTATTACCCCCGGGAAAGTGGGCCACCAATCGATTAACAACCGGGTTCCAACTTATTGCTGGGTAAACAGAGTAAGGAAACTTGCCTAAGGTTTTGCCCTGACCGGGAATCGAACCCAGATTTGATTTGAGCCTATATAACCTTCTGAGGCAGTGGTTTATCACATGGTCCCAACCTTCTGTGTGATGAAATGGTCAATGACCCATACTCGTATCTTTATTTGAAGTTTCTCATTCACGATAATACAGTACCAACTCAAATCAGCTCAGTTCGGAGGAGAGAAACAATCGTAAATTGCAAAATATTCAGAAGGTCAGGCAGCATCTATGGAGAAAGAAAAGTGAGTCAACGTTTCGGGTCTGCCGAAGGGTCGGGGAACGAAACTTTGACTCACTTTCCTTTCTCCATAGATACTGCCAGACCTGCTGAGCGTTCCCAGTGACTTCTATTTTTGTTGGAGAGAAACGGTCATGATGCCCAGTGTTAGAGGAATGAGCTATGAGCATTAAATTGAAAATCTAGGGCTCTTTTCAGTCTTGAAAGAAGATGTCTCAGAATAGGACCTCGGATAGGTGTGTGTAACATTTTAAATGGGATCGAAAAAGTAAACCCAGAACAATCCTTTAGGATGCACCAAGACAGTGGAACAAGAGGACATAGGTTCAGAGTTGCGAAGGGCAATTTCAAAACAGATACTCAGAGACATTTCTTTACCCAGAGGGTAATTAATGATTGGAATAGGTTGTCAGGAGGGGTGATTGAGGCTGGGACACATTTAAAATATGTGCTCGTGCTGTGAGACAGGAGGACTTTAGGGTGTTTGTTTTCAGTTGATTACTCTATGTGAAGGGCGCTCTACAAATGTAAGTTGTTGTTGCTGTTGTGATCTTGTAAGGTGTTTAAAACGATAAAGGGATTCGATAGGGTAGATACAGAAAAACTATTTCCTCTGGTGGAGAAATCCAGAACATAGGGGCATAATCTTAAAATTAGAGCTATGCCATTTAGGAGCGAAATTAGGAGGCAGTTTTTCACCCAAAGTGTAGTGGAAATCTGTGACTATCTAAAATTTACAAGGCATAGGTGGATAGATTTTTGTTAGGTCAGGGTATCAAGGGATATGGAGGAAAAGCGGGTAAATAGAGTTGAAGTACAGATCAGCCACGATGTGATAGAATGACGGAACAAGCTCAAGGGGCTGAAAACCTATTCCTGTTCCTGCGTTCCCATGTAAGAAGCTTTCCTCATGCTGTGTTTTTACCCTGCAGTTCTGGAAGCTCAAAGGTGGTGTTAAATAGGAGACATTCAAGTCGAATTTCAAGCCTCCACTGTGTTTACATGACCCGCAGACCTCAGGAGGCTGCCTGTGGCAAATGACATTATCCAAATGATACGTAATAACATTCCTTTTAACCTCTCTTTTACTGCCGCGGCGTTAAATCTCTGAGAGCTATTCTGCTTCTTTCTGTGGATTTAAATACCACGAAGTAAGGAAGATGTTATTCGTCTACACGAAGTTTATAATTCTGAGGAGCCTTCGCACCCGGATCTAGATTGACTCCATTTATGTCTCATTTTAGGAGGTCTAAAATTTGAGAAAATGTTGAATTTGGTCTGTACTCTTCTCAGAAGCCTGTTTTCTGTAAATCCTTGAGAGAAACGTTCAGAAAAATAGCTCACAAAATTCAGGCTGTGTTAAAGAATTTCAGAAATTCTGGACACTGTAAACATTAATAATTCTTCCATTTGATATGGCGCCTTATATCGTTGAGAGGTCGCAAAGTGCTTCACAGGATATACCGTAAGGTTGTGGGTGAAACGGGCTTCTGAGTTAAGACCGAATTCAACAATTTGCCAAATTCTGGACACCCTAAAATGATACTTAAATGGAATCAACCCAGAAACGCCTCATAAACCTAGAAATCTAGATTTGGATTAAATTTTATCCCCATTGTGGTCCAGACTGGGATCCGGGTGGATGTTAAGGATCCCACGGCACGCTTCGAAAAGAGAAGGGACTTTCTCCCGATGTCCTGGACAACATTCCACCCAAAATAAAAATAAAAACTCAATGCGGATCCTTGCCTTGCAAGCAAGAGGATCCGAGTTCAATTTCCGGGCAAGGCGAAACTTTAGGCAAGTTTCCTTACACCGCACGCCTCTGTTTACCTACCAGTAAACAGGAACCCGGTTGTTAGTTGGTTCGCAGATCGCTTTCCGAGGGTAATAATCCCTCCAAAAGAACAATTTGGTCACTCAATCCACAACTGTTGGTGGGACACTGCTGTGCGCAATTGATTGCTGCATTTGGCCCACAGAATACATAGTCAATCCACTCTATTCTGGGAGGAACTTTGAGACATCTCAACGATGATGAGGGGTTATATCAAATGCAAGGATAATCCTTTGTACGATTAGCGGATTGATTTTCCGTGGGTAATAATCCCTTCAAAAAAATGTTTTAATTGGTCACTCAATCCACGACTGTTTGTGGGACACCTCTGTGTGCAATTGGCTTCTGTGTTTCGCCCACAAGATATGCAGTCAATTTGTAGCCCACAGCTCTAAAGCCAACTGCTCTCCCAGCTGAGTTGAGCTAACAAGGACAGCACGGGGATTCAGTCTGTGACCTTCTGAGTCTGCAGTACTCTTAGGCATTTGTTCCCTGCCGATGACAGACCAGCTAGCCTGTGTCAGCACGTCTGCCGGGGACAGACGAGTTACTGGGTGGGTGGAGGGAAGCACTTGGTTCCTATTAACCCTGCAAGCCAAAGCCCTAACGGGTAAATAAGGTGGTCGTGAATAAGGAGACGTCTCAAAGCGCTTCGCAGAATATACTGTAAGGTGAATTGAAAAAAATGGTGCTCCAAGATTTTTGTTGGTCGGCCGGTAGACAACCGTCCGACCAACAAAAAACTTGGAGCACCATTTTTTATTCACAGTTTTAGTAATTTCTTAGTAATCTCCCAGTTAATCTTAGAGCAATCTCCCAGTTAACTTGTTTATTCCTCACTCCCTCCTTCTGACATTAGTAACAACATCCTCAGTCACTCTGTCCCGGGAAATCTCTCGTAAAAATCTGTTTGCCTTATATCCTCTCTCCCTCCAAGTCTCTCCTAAATTCATATCCTCACAGCACTATTTGAAAAGAGAAGGGAGTTTCTCCCAATGCCCTGATCAACATCCCCCAGATGAAACTGGTCATTCACTTCACGACTGTTTGTGGGACATTATTGTGTGCAAATTGGCTACAGCATTCGTCTACTAAATACACTTTGAGGGGGTGGGGATGAGAGAGTTGGGGTTCCAGAGGTGAGAGCTGTGGTTGCTGAAGGCTTGCATACCAGTGGTGGCATGGTGATGGGGAGAACAAGGGAAGGGGTGAGCAGGAGAGTGGGGTAGGAGAAGATCAGAGCGATGGGGAGGTCCTAGGGCATGAAACAATTTATGGGTGAAGGTAGAGGCCTTGAAGTGGAGACGGGAGCTGAAATCTTTGACCAACATTGGTGAAATGTGGGTTAAAGAGATGACCATGGAAATCATCCAGGGTAAATGCATTACGGCATATCTAAGAAGCAGAAATTATTCAGTTTGAAGATGAATTATCTATACTTGGACAAAGATAATGGAATATATTTTTAGTTTAAAACGCCATCAGCTTTCTAGATCTCTAGATTTAAGCATTAGAAGTGAACTGCAGGTAGAACTTGTGGTCAGCAGTAAACTGGGATAGATTCCACAGTAGAGTCCTCTAGCGTATCGGTTAGGTGCTATTATCAAATTCAAGGATTATTATTATTATTATTACAGACGATTGTCACGGATAGAATCCCTGGGCTGGCAACGCTACAGTAATGCAGGGGGCTTGATGTGTTGTTGTTGTGTATGCTGCACAGTTTGTGAGTGTGTTGGTTCGAGCCCATGAACATGGTTTGCAGCCTACAAATTTAGAAAGCTCTTTCTGGCTTGTCTTTTGAGGAACAAAATAAGTTGTATTTTTATAACGTCTTGTCAGGTCAAAACGTGCTTCAACAAGAACAATGTAGGTTATATAATAGCAACCTTCACACGGGGTAGTGTCTCGGAGCACTTCAGAGAATAAAACCCTGCCACGTTTAGTGGGAGTTTTTCTGCAAACAAGTGCGACAACCATTTGTGCCAGCAAATACCCAAAGCGACTGATTAATTTTATCGGGAGATTGTTGGTCAGGACACCGGGAGAAACTCCCTTCTCTTTTCGAGTAGTTTCATGAGATCTTTCATGTGCATCTGAACAGGTCCTTGGTTTAACGTTTCTGTTATGCTCTCAACAAATAATGTGTAGAACACTCTTGTTTCAACTCAGAAGTTACAAATCCAAAACACTCTAACCAAAAAAAAAACCTTTACTCAGTTTTCCCTACTTGCTGCTTTTCTACCTCCTGATCCCCTTCCATTGGTCCTAGTCAATTGGTCCTTATTGTCTTAATGAGTATCCAACAGTTTCATCTGAAGAACGATGCCTCCACCCAGTACTGCACTGGAGCGTGATCAGAGGTAGAAGCTCAAATCTAGCATCACGGTGCATGAGTTTAATCATTTTCCCAAAGGGAGTGAAAAAAAACTGCAATCTAAAATCCCTGGTGAAGT